CCTACCCTAAAGATGACCAATCTTCGAGTGTTACTGCGCATAGCAGCATAGATGGACTATGAGTTACTCTCTCGACTTCGCTACTGCTTTCCTCCAGGGTAGCCTAAACGAGGAGGTCTAGGTGTCTCGTCCCTCTGCCTTCACTAGCACTTTCCCTCCTGGGACCCAGTGGAGGCTGAGGGGACCGATCTACGGTCTCCATCAGGCTCCTCGTGAGTGACACGACACCCTTCGTTCTGACCTCTGTTTCCAGCCGTCTTCTGCCGACCCGTCGCTGTTTTTTCGACGTGGCTCCATACCGTTCTTTGTACTAGTCTAAGTCGACGACCTGGTTTTTGTCACTGCCGTCAGGGTTGCTTTGGCTGACGTGAAGCGCGAACTGCATAAGAGACACGCGTGCACTGACCTTGGTGAGCTGCCCCACTACCTTGGCTTGCATATCACAAGGGACAGAGCTGCTCGCACCATTACACTCTCACATTCACATATGGTGTAGCAAGTTCTTCAGCGGTTCGAGCTTCAGCACTCCACAGTACAGCGCACACCTCTTGTTGTTGACCACAGATTGACTGGACCCGTCCCTGACGAGTCGTTTGAGCCTAGTGGTCCTTACGCAGAGCTTGTGGGCTGCCTCATGTACCTGATGACTTGTACTCGCCCGGACCTCGCCTTCCCTCTCAGCATCCTTGCTCGCTTTGTTGCGCCAGGGAGACACCGTCTAGTTCACTGGACAGCTGCTGTGAGGGTGGCGAAGTATCTAGCGACGACATCAGGCGTGGGGCTGGCTCTTGGAGGGCAGTAGTCTGTTGTACTTACTGGACAGTGTGACTCTTCTTACGCCGACGACGCCGAGACCCACAGGTCTACTCAGGGTTACTGTTTCAGCCTGGGCTCTGGAGTTGTTTCGTGGAGGTCCACACGCTCCTCCTCGGTCTCGACCTCTACTGCTGAGGCTGAGATCTACGCTGGAGCCATGGCTGCACATGAGCTGCGCTGGTTGACCTTGTTAGAATCTACTAGCAGGAATGAATGCAGTATGAAAGTGTTGGGTACGAGTATGAAACCCTAAGAGGGGTTGTACCCCATATTGGCTACCTACAGCCTAAACATATATAGCATGCATATAATTTGACACACCCACATAGGCAAAGTGGGGGAGAGCAAGGGGTCACAAGACCAGTCAAGAGAAGCAAAGCAAGCTCAGGGTGGATCACAACGTCACCACACACACTGAGCACAAGCAGAGGGGCCACAAGGCCAGTTCACATGCAGAGGTGTATATGCAACAACAACAGCACAGTGATCTCTACCTAGCAGAGAAAGCATGCAGGTATATATATAGATCACAGTACAGACAAAGTCTACAGCAAGTGAGGAAACGTGGGCACAAGGCCTAACAAAGTACAAAAACGCTGATGATCACCAGACGGAAGTGCCTTGGTGAATATATCAGCAGTGTTGGCCCGAGTGGCCACGTGAGCAAGACGAAGCTGACCACGCTGCTGCAACTCTCGAGCAAGGAAGTAACGCAGAGCGATGTGCTTCGTTCTGTGCTCCAGTCTGTGCTCCTGAGACAAGGCAATGGCGGCCTTGTTGTCTACGTACAGTACTAGAGGAGAACGAGGCGGCTCTCCCAGGTCCAGCCAGGTGGGGAGCTCAGCCTCGTCGCCAAACTCGGTACGCCAGGCGTCGCTCAGACGGGCGAAGCAGCGGGACTGTGTGTGACCAAGCGTCCCGCAAGCCTGATCAACCCGATCACCTGTGCGAATGACGTACGGGCAGCGAACGGTCCTCCGAGACCCTCTACTCTTAGCGTACCATTCACGAAGCTGCTGGGGCGTAAGTGTCTCGCGCGGACGCGGATGCAGCTGGAGCTGGCCACTGCCAGACGCTCCCGACTGACCAGCTCCAGGGCGACAGCCACGACGGCTACCGCCACAACCCCAACTAGCGTACCACTCACGAAGCTGCTGGGGCGTGAGAGACTCGCGCGGACGTCGCTGGAGCTGCATCTGGCCATCGCCAATAGCAGTAGTAGCAGCAGTAGCAGCAGCAGCAGGGCAGGCGTGGCAGGCAGGCGAGCAGGCAGGCAGGCAGGCAGATGGCGTGGCAGCGCGCTACAGCCTACACAATATGAACAGTATAACAGTTTGACACAACAACGCGGGTTTCGCTGCTGCGGCGCGGACTCCACTCCGCTCCCTAGCTGCGCGCTGCTACCGTACCTGCAGTTCGGGGGCTGAGCGGCCAAATCGCGGATTGGTCAGCAAAGTCGCGCTTTTGCGGCTAGGTCGCTGGCGGGGCGGCTAGATCGCTGGCTGAGCGGCTAAGACGCGGGCTGGGCGGTTAGATCGCGGCCTAGGCACGAAGATCATGGGCTGGGCGGCTAAATTGCGACCTGGGCGGCTCGATCGCGGCCTGGGCGGCTCGATCGCGGTCTGGGCGGTTAGCTCGCTGCTGCATGCGGCGAAACCGCTGTCTGGGCGGCTGAATCACGAGCTGGGTGGCTAGATCACAAGCATGTAGCGACAAACACTCTGCTGCCTGCGAAGTGTGCTGCTACTAGAGGGAAAAGCGCTGCTGACTACAGATCGCTCTGTGATGGTGATTTAACATACATAATTATAGAAAGGGCCTCTTTGGAAATATGTCAGAAACCTGTCAATGAGCTGGAAAGTGAACAAGTCACCAGGCAGATGGTGTAGGCGATGGATAACGGGGTATAGTACGCATTATACAACAACTAAGATTTCAATTGCCCTTACAGGTTTAGCGGAAAAATTAAGTGTAGTAGCATGGCGAGAGTCAGCCAACCTACAATACAGAGCACACATTTGTGTGCACAACTCAGCCCAACTAAAAACCCACTGAATCAGCCCACCGAACACGACCGAGCGAGTGTGTTTTAGTTGAGGGGCTCCATGGGGAAGTCCTCGACGGGGCTCAGCTGCTTGGCGCGGTGGTACTCCGTTTGCGCGCAGTCCACGGACAGCACGGAGCTCGACTCGTACAGCCGGGGAGTGCCGTCAAGGAACCCAGCGCCCTCCTGGCTGTCAGCCGAGATCGGACGGTGCAGGTTCGCGATCAGGCGCTGGAAGTCGGCGGCGCGAGCCGCGTGGTCGGGGCGGTACGTCTGGCCGAGCACGCCGTGCACGTCATCGGTGTGCTCCAGCTCCACAATCCCCACGTTGATGTGCGCCTCGGCCTCGCTGGGCGTCTGCAGCTTGGGGTTGGCCACGCGCAGGCGCAGGTCGAGCGCCACGAGCCCGTCGATGGTGAGCGTGTAGTAGTCCACGTCATACGGGCCCTCCTTCTCCAGCGCCGCGAACCGCAGAGTCAGACCGCCCTCCGCCGTCACCTCGTCGCCCACGTTCATCCTCGGGATCTCCTCGCCGTCAATCTCGATCGTCTTCATGAATCCGTCGCCGCGCTCCTGCTGTTTGCCAGAGCGCGCCGCGAGCCGCACCTTGTGGTCGGCGCCGTTGGCGAACCACACGATGCCCAGCTCCTTGATCCACGTGTGCACGGCCTTGCCGTCCACAACGAGCGCCGCGTTCTCCGTGTCGTCCGAGTAGTACCCGCGCAGCAGCATGTTCACGTGCAGGTCCTTGTCCGTCAGCAGGCAGAACGCCTTGTCGGGGCGCCCGTTGAAGTCGAAGTGCGTGCCGTACGCGCCCACCAGATGCGGGTCGTTCACCACGTTCGCCGCGGGGTTGCACTCGCCGCCCGTGCGCACCTGCAGATGAACCGGCTTCGAGTCCGTCGCGTACTGCGCCGTCATGTCGCCGCACGAGTAGTCGATGTTGTCGTGCACCAGGTAGCACGCGCCCTCCGTCTTCTTGCCGTCGATCGTGATGTCAGGGATGTACTGCCAGTACGTGCAGCTGCTGTACCCCGCGCACGTGTTGCAGCACGTCTGCGGGGACGCCTTCTTCAGCGTCAGCGGGTTGCCCTTCACGTACACCTCCACGCCCAGCTTGTTCTTCAGCAGGTTCGACGTCTTCCACTTGGCGGCGATGCCGCCCTTGCTGCAGTTGGCGGGCGTGCACGCGCCCTCCCCGGGCTTGCCCAGGTCCTTGTGGCACTTCATTTTGTTCCATCCCGCAACTTTCACGTCCACCATCAGCATACTGTCCGTGCTCGGGCTCACGATCGTCGTCCCCTCGAACTTGTCAAGCCCGCCGGCGGCCGCCGCCTTCTCGATGCCAGTAGGGACCTCGGTTGCCACGCCATTCTCGCCCTTGGCCTTGTCCAGGTTCACCGCCGGGTTGTTGGGTCCGGTCACGACGGTTTGACCTGCGGACGCCACTGCCAGCAGCACGGCGAACGTGGCGACGAAAAGTAGACGCGCCATGAGGTACGTTGTGTGTGTTATGAAATGAATTTGATGGACGAATTGCTGAGATTCCTCAGAATTTTTTTCTCTATGGTATGTTAGGTACTCCTATACTTCGATCTGACGGACAAATATTTTACCACCCTTTTTGTACCAGCACCGATTTGCCTTGTCCGCGTTGTGTGTGGGGTTGGATACCTCGCTTGTGGGAAACTACGTGAACAGTTAAGCGCTGTGTTGGAATTGTTGCGTGTCGCAGCGAGGTCTCGGCTCTCATTCACCCTCGAGTCACCAGTGCCAGGTTTGATTCAGGAGAAACAAATCGCTTGTGCAGTCTCCTTGGATCCAACCTGGATCAGCAGCGGCCTGTGCTTGAATCTTGTTGCCTTCGAAGTTCAGGTCGCTTCACTTTGATCTCAAGGTGGGTTTGAAAGCGCAGGCCTCTACGGTGAAATTTTTCACGGCCTGGGAATTGATCGGTTTGTTGCCCTGAGATCCAACCTGACTTGGCAGGTGGATGCGAAAGTCTGGAGTTCCTGCGGCCCGGGTAACCAAGAAGCTGCTTCCTTTGGTTTGAAACTGTGCACCATCGACTGTCGAGCGAGGCTACTTGAAAATACAAATAAACTACAATAAAAGCAATTGCCATAAAATGCCTGGTGTGTCAAGCACCTAAAAGACAGGTTGGGTTGCAAGGGAAAGGGCAGTCAACTAGCTTTGTTACTTTCCGGTCAAAATACCAGTCACCAATAGCTTCTGCCATTGTCTGAACACATCATATGCAAAGAGAAAATGATGGGGGGGAACAGAGTGTAGAGAACAAATTACTTCGATGTATGAATGGGAGAACACTCATTTGCGTCCACATAACCAGACATGCACAAATCGAACGTGCTATAAGTAGCAAAAAGCTTTATCCATGCAGCACAACACAACATAATGGCGACATTATTCAATAAAATGACTCACCTTGCCCCCAACACGAGGAGCACCAGCCCCGTGCCATGCTTGCGATGCCAGTGCCTGGTGCAAAGGACGAACAGGTAAGGAGTGAGCAGGGAACTGAGAGAAAAGGAGAGATAGAGAGGGAGCAATAAGTGGTTCACGGGCCGTGCCTGTGCCACTCACCATGCAGCACCACTCACCATGCAGCACCACTCACCATGCAGCACCACTCACCATGCAGTACCACTCACCATGCAGTACCACTCACCATGCAGCACCACTCACCATGCAGCACCACTCACCATGCAGTACCACTCACCATGCAGTACCACTCACCATGCAGTGCCACTCACCATGCAGTGCCACTCACCATGCAGTGCCACTCACCATGCAGTGCCACTCACCATGCAGTGCAGATGGCAGGACAGCAGCAGAGCTCCATTGCGCGAGGCAGAGGCGGAGACCCCTCCTTCCTGGGAGCGGAAAGCCTCGCCCTCCACAACACCAAGCCCATCCCTCTTCATCGCTTCAAAATCCCTCCCCATTTCTCCAGCTTCCAGCCCCTTGTGATATCCCAAGTCAGCCCTCTCATCTGCACTCGGCTTCTCCTCCTGCTCCCCTTCTTCCTCCTCCTCATTCCCCTCCACACGTGCACCACCCTCAGTTTCTTTTGCCTCCTCATTCTCTTCCTTCTCCTCTTCACCCCCCCTTTTCTCTTCACTCTCCGACTCCTCCTCACTTCCCTTCTCCTCACTCCCTCTCTCATTCTCACCTCCCGTCTCCTCCCCGCTCTTACTCTCGCCATCACCCCCTTCCTCCTCCTCACCATCACCATCCCCTATGTTCTTTTCCCCTACCTCCTCCGTACCTCCCTCCTCAACACCAATCCCTCCGCCTTCCACCAAAGTCAGGCGGCGGCGATGGTGGGGAGGAGGGCTAAGAGAGTGCGTGGCAGGGAGAAAGGGGGAGAGCTTGGTAACCATCTGGTGGTGGTACCCTGGGTGGGGTGGGGTGGGGTGGGGTTTGGAGAAAGAGAGGTTCCGGGGCGCATGACGGGAAGGAATTAGGTGGGGCATTTTTTTGAGACGTCTCAAAAATACACTTCTTTCACGTGGCGATTTGGATCAGTCAGGTGGATTATGGTTTTGATGCAGCCACGAGATGTGGGTCTTCTCTAGAGTGGATTTTTGAGTCGACTAAAAAAATCGACTCATCACACGTGGGTCTTCTCTAGAGTGTGGAGCAACCACGAGAGTCGGGCAAGAACGGGGCGCGGGGAGGGGTTTGGTGCGCGGTGGGGTGCGTGGGGGCACATCACATCAGTGCACGTCGCCGCACATCACCGCACGTCACCACTCATCACCGCACTGTACCGTGGAGCAGCTGCAGCAGGTGGGGCGGGCAGGAGCGCAGGTCAGTGCGGCAGTGGTGCCAATCCAGAGAGGGGAAGGCATGCTGCTGGGCGAATGAGAAAGACACCTAATGTTGGCAGGAAGGACGGGGGAGAGGGAGGGGGAGAGGGAGGAGACGAGGGGCCAAGGTTGGAGGGGAGGGAAGTGCAGGAGGGGACTCTGACCAGACGAACCAGAGTTACCGTGGTTGATGTGGCTGGTCCATCTGCTCAGAAGGTTTAGGTGATTCAATTCAACTCACCATTTAGCATGATTGGTCTAACCTGAAAAAAGTACTTGTCAGGAGTGACCCAACCTGAGGGATTACCTGCCAGGAGTCGTAGAGGGGGTTGAGAACGAAGAAGGGCTGGCAGAGGAAGGGAAGGAGATGCTCCGGGAAGAAGCACTGCGGGCGTGGTTGGGGCATGGTGCATGGCGGATGGTGCATGGGGGATGGTGCATGGCGGATGGTGCATGGGGGATGGTGCATGGGGGATGGTGCATGGGGGATGGTGCATGGGGGATGGCGCATGGTGCATGGGGGATGGCGCATGGTGGATGGGGGATGGTGCATGGGGGATGGCGCATGGTGGATGGGGGATGGTGCATGGGGGATGGTGCATGGGGGATGGTGTATGGGGGATGGTGCATGGGGGATGGTGCATGGTAGATGGTGCATGGTGCATGGTAGATGGTGCATGGTGGATGGTGCACGGTGGATGGTGGGGAGGAACGGAAGAAATCAATTAGTCATAAATCAGAGTTAATGATTCAGGGATAATAGAATTTGAGTCATGGATGGGCAATGGGCCATGACAGGATTTGGATAATAAATGATGGGTAATGTGACATACATGATGGGCAATGTGACATACATGATGGGCAATGTGACATACATGATGGGCAACGTGACATACATGATGGGCAATGTGACATACATGATGGGCAATGTGACATACATGATGGGCAATGTGACATACATGATGGGCAATGTGACATACATGATGGGCAATGTGACATACATAATGGGCAATGTGACATACATGATGGGCAATGTGACATACATGATGGGCAATGTGACATACATGATGGGCAATGTGACATACATGATGGGCAACGTGACATACATGATGGGCAATGTGACATACATGATGGGCAATGTGACATACATGATGGGCAATGTGACATACATGATGGGCAATGTGACATACATGATGGGCAATGTGACATACATGATGGGCAATGTGACATACATGATGGGCAATGTGACATACATGATGGGCAACGTGACATACATGATGGGCAATGTGACATACATGATGGGCAATGTGACATACATGATGGGCAATGTGACATACATGATGGGCAATGTGACATACATGATGGGCAATGTGACATACATGATGGGCAATGTGACATACATGATGGGCAATGTGACATACATGATGGGCAATGTGACATACATGATGGGCAATGTGACATTGCCAGTGTTTCCTACGTCTTCCCAACGGTGAGCCATTGGTGCAGAAAGCATCGCTAAATAACCTGTGACCCCGCATGTACTCGATGCAGAGAGAATGGCAACAGAGAGTGTGAGCCTACTACACGCACGCAGCTCACTGAGACATGTCTGAATCTCGATGGAGAGATAATGGCAACAGTGAGCACTAGCAGCAAAAACGAAGAAGCCGCAGCAGGAGCAAGATTAAAACGGGCGAGAATGAAGACAAGCGAGACGGAAGAGGAGCGAGAAGGAAGAGGAGCAGACGAGATAGTGGTCCTGTGGTGCCACCGCTGCCGTGCACCGCTCATGCAGCGACACGTTCTGATGCGCCGCGCGTGGAGGGGGAGGGGAGGGAGTGGAAGAGGGGAAGGGAGGGGCAATTCGAGGGGGGGGGGAGGGGGTGGTGTGGGGGAGGGAGAGGAATGGGAGGGAGGGGATTTGTTTTAGTCGACTGAATATAAAAACTTGCATGTAGGGAAAGATAGGGCAGGACGATTGGACGTGGGTACAGGTGAGGAGGCAATGGGGACTTGGGCGTTGGGAAGTGGAGACGTGGGAAAACAGCCATGCTGATGCTCTGTCTGTGCACCACAGCACGTGCAGCACGCATGCAAGAGAGGAACCCGCGCCTGACAAGTCAGCTCATGACAGCTCATGCCAGCTCACGACAGCTCATGACAGCTCACGACAGCTCATGACAGCTCATGACAGCTCGTGCCAGCTCATGCCAGCTCATGGCAGGCCGTGCCAGCTTATGCCAGCTCACCTGAGTTTCAACAACCGCTTTGAACCGCTCTCGCATGCGCCTCACTCCTCCAACATCCTCTGAGTCCAAAAAGAACCCCGCATCACCCATGCACTTCACCACTGGACCTCCCCCCACTCGCCCTCTCCCTTCCATCGCCCTCTCCTCCGCTCCTCCACCCGCCCTTCCTTCCTCGGCCCCTGCTCTCTCGCTCGTTCCTGATTGGCTGGAGGATTGCTGCAGAATCTCCGCCAGCCTATCACAGTGCTGCAAGGATGCGAGACCGCCAGCAGAGCAGCCGGATAATAAAACAAGGGATGCCGCCCCCATGCCGTGGTGGGACACGAGGTACCGGGTTACGGCGTCGAAGATGCGCCTCCCCCGGAAAAAGACGAGACCGTTGTTTGTCTGGACTGGCTCGTTTGCGTCACCCAGGTATGAGGCACCGTCACAATAACGAACGAAGACCAGGTTCCAATTGTAGAAGCCTGTTGAAAAGTGGAGGAGAGGAAGATGGAATGGCGGAGGAGCAATGGCAGAGGGACAATGGAGGAGGGGCAATGGAAGAAGAGCAAGAGGATGAGCAATAGTGTAAAGGGTAAAATACCTTTTGAGACGTCTCAAAAGGGTAAAATACCTGTGCCTGGGCATTCCTGCTGCTTAAACAGGAACAACATCTTGGTGTGGTGCGGGGTGTGGAAGAATGATTGTGGCTCGGTTCTAGTCCAGTGCATCATACACTTCGATTGTGATACCTCGCCAGTGCACCATACTCGCCTCGCCAAATCACCCCCAGGATTAATTCGTTTTGCTCTCTACAGTCAACCCTTGACTTTCAACGCACCGGGGTTGAATGTGGAGTCATGCTATGAGGGGGGATCCTCCCCAAGGCCATGAGTCCCCCCAAGCGCTTGGACGAAACAAGATGGGTGCCTTCAAGACGATTTAGACGCTGCATCAGGGTCTACATTCAACGCACCAGGGTTGACTTTCAACGCACCAGGATTGACCTTCAACGCACCAGGGTTGACTGTGGGGTCATGGGAGAGAATGCCTCCGAAGGCCATGAGTCCCCCCATGCGCTTGGACGAGCCCAGATGGGTGGCGGCGCGATGCGCACACTCCTCCTCGCTGTTACACCACCCCCCGCCCTGTCACAATACACGCATGTGACAATAGCAAGTGAATGCCACATTGGCACATGCTGTGACGGCTCAAGAAGACCCTCTGCTCTGTAGCAATACATGCACGTGACGGCATTGAGGGTGGACAATGACGTGGACGAGCAATGATATTAATTGACCTGCATTGATAGCGTTTGACCTGCGTTGACCTGCATTGATAGCGTTTGACCTGCGCTGACCTGCGTTGACTCGGTGCGTCCTACCTCGAGATATATCAGCCAGTTGTTCGCACCGCGACCCCATCCGGGGGAGAGATGGATGGCCGGCGGCGAGCCATCTAAGCACACTGCCCCGTCATCATCCAGGTCAGCAAGCACCGTCAGCGGGACCAGAGGCGACCGGGTGACGTGCTCCACGTCAGCGTCCTCGTGGAAATTCATGGCTGACGTGGCATTTGGAGCCTCGCGACCCGGAAACGCGGAAGGGGAGAGGGATTCTGGTGAGGTGCCGGTGTGAAAAAGAAGCTCGCGAGTGGATTGAGGGAGGACGAGAAAGAAGGAGACGACTAGCAGCGCGGCGATGATCGCGAGGCGAGTCTGCGTGGTTGAGTGGAGAAGGAAGGAGCGCTGGTGTGTCGCGAACGGGGAGCTACTGGCCCGCGAATGCGGTCCCGCCATGGTTCTGTTACTAAACTTGTATCGCAAACTGCCGACCGCACGACGACGAGGCTATGATGACGGTACTGCACATCCGAATTCCTCCGTGTGCTTGGTGCTCAGGTGGTCCTGCTTTGCGTCTTTATACGAACACACTACAACGTAGGATAGCTAACTAGGGGAAAGGCGCAAAAACGGGAAAATGGACGAGACCACGGCCCGTTTTATGTTGTACCGGTAAGATAATACTATCTTATTCTGGTATTTGATCACAGAACTGCCTCATTATGTCATCATTTATTGATCTTCCATATTGTATCATAACGTTGAAAGTAAAATACATAAGCAGCAAGCCACCAAAACTTAGAGTGCATGTCTTTTCCATAAGCCTTTATTTTCTGTCAGTTGTCAAACCATGTAGTAAGGAATCTTTTACGAATGCATTTGTAGCGGATCATTTTACTCTTGTGTCGATTCTCATGGCTTGTCTCTTCTCACCCGCATGTGCTCTCCACCGCGTGCCACTGTTCACACAAGGTGCTCGCATTGCATCCATGTGCTTCGGTGATGATCTGCTCCTCCCCACCATGTGGGCAGATTCGCTTCGTTCGCAGGCTACGAGACAGCGAACGAGTATGTCAAGTGACATCTCGAATGACATAGCTGAAATCTCCCAAACAGAATCCAGTTGCAGGTCCTACCCGAATGGTCCCATCCATCTGGTCTCCAGCTATGGCGTTGCATTTCTTCCAGCTGTACCAAAACCTTGTCCACTGTCCCGTTTCATCTCCACGTTCTCAACAACAGAACGATGCTGATCTCGAACACGTGTACAACCCGAGCCTGCATCCAGGTTTGGCTGCAAGTGAATGTATTGCTGCCCACAGTCGTTGGTGCAGGCCCAGGAAGCCCCTTCGACCTTTGGACTCTTACCACAGCTGCTTTCGTCATCACCTGTAACCTTCTCAGCTAAGCAGGGCCAGGTACACACACGCTCACGCTCGTTAAAGTCACACACTCGTGAGCGAGCGTCACAGGGCTGCTGAGACCAGCGAAGCCAGTCAGGAAGCAGCCCGAACCGAGACAAAAGCATGACATTGCAGGGATGCTTTGAAACGCTGCAAGTGAATTTCTGATTTTATACGGAGTTTCACTTACATCGATCGAAGGCAACAACGAGGATGTCACGTGTTTGATCTTGAGAAGGGTCGGAGATTTCGCCAGCGGCGAATCTCGCCATGTGCAGCTGTCGCTGTGCTGCGAAAACTCCCTCCCTCCTTCCAATCCACCCTGGCCGACGCGTCAACTTTTCCAGACACAGCTGCCATGAGCTCACACTCACACTCGACTGCCGTTCAGCTTTTACTCATACAAAAGCGCTCCACAAACCACCAGTGACCAGAGCAGCTTCTCACTCGTAAATGCTATGCTTTCCATCAGTCACAACGCGAACTCCTCGCAGACTGCTTGAGCTATCGACTATACATCATATCATCACGCCACTCAGAGGCGCAATGCCGCTCTGGAACGTCTCGTCATTTCCCGCCTTCTCTAACGACACGCAGGGAGCATCAGGCCTACTTCCCGCCAACGACTCCATCTCCTACGCGTCGAACTCCGTCGACGTCGCGCCTCTCTCCGCGCCGCGCTTCTTCCCGTGCCCAGCCACCCCCTTCTTTCAGTCGAAGCGCCAGCGACTCGACATGGTTAATTCAGAAACGAAACGCCAGCGAGTAGGAACTTTTCCCGGCGACCATCTCGACGCGTTTTGCCATGCTGACCGTCTTCGGATGCCCGCTGACGTGATGGCGGCATTGGACGAGCTAACAAGCTCCAACCCTGTCGCGCGCAACGAAGCTACCGTCCACGGTATTTGTGCACCCGTTTTCGGTAAGATCCGGAGGCCCGGGCCGACCAGCCCTAGCCAAAGCCAGAGCTCGCGTGTGGTCGGTGGTTCTAATACAGCTTTTGGAAACGATGTGCTTCGTGGGATTGCGCCGTCAGACGACTTTCAGTCGCGCAATGACACGACCGCTTTAGCCGACTTGGCCGATTTGGGGGAATTGGGCGATTTCGACGAGGAGACGAACCGGCTGCTTGATGTGATCTGGCCCGAGTGCGCCGCGCGAAGCGACGGAGAACGAGGGGAATGCAACGTGGCGACTTCGGATGGCGGAGAAAGGCCCAACGGTCGAGGACCAACGGAAAATGTGGTGGGGGTATCAAGTAAAGCTATCGCTGGTACAAGTGCAGCGCACATGACGCTTGAGAGGCAGGGCTCGAGCGCCGCGACGATCTCGACAAGCGTGGAAGCTACACGCGCATATCTAGTACCCGTGGCACGTGATGATCGGCAAACGGACAAAGAATCGCTGCGTAATTCGCGACAGGACACGTCACAGGTGACGACGAGCGTCGTCTGCCCGCCAATTGATCCGAACCAGCTTGAGCTGATCGAGAGGGTTGTGCGAGCCTCGAGCCCAGGAGTCGCGGTCGCTGTGCCGTTGATCCAACCAAAGCTTCAACCTGCATCGTCGATTCCCGACACGACGGCGTTTTCGCAAATGCTTTCGGAGTTCACGAAGGCTGCAATGGCGGCACCGATCGCGGCCAAAGCTTGCGCTGTACACCCACGGACAATGCCTGCGCCGTCCCAGACGCGCGCGCTTATGTTGCGCCAATTAAAAGAGCTGAATGCTCTGAGCGACAGCCGTAAGCGGTGGGGTTCGGGATTCGGAGGGAGCCCGGCTGAGGTGAGCAGCGAGGCGACGTCGCGCAGGTGGACAGGTGGACCTTCTGCGGCTTCGCCGGCGTCGCAGGGGTCGCCTGTGTCGTTCTCGCCCGCTGCGATGGCGTGCGACTCGGTGGACTTACTGGCCGGGCGGAGCTCGAAGGAGCTGCTGCGATTGGTGCAAGAAAGCATCCGTGCGAACGAGTTTGCGCTCCGGCAGATGGGGAGAGACTAGCGGGAAACATGGCAGTTCGGTGAAGCTTTGGTTGTAGAAATCTATATACTATTGCGAAAGCAATAGTGTGCAATAAAATGTGAAAGTGTTACGTTTTTACTTATTTCGAAACTGCATGTAGTGAAATTTGGGGAAATCCAATAGACATTTCCACACATCCGCACGCTCCTGCAGATCTTTCGCAGGCCTAAACTCTGTCCTGCGCCTCGCGTCGTTCGCGTGTAGGCCATACTTAGGCAGGCAGCATAGGGAAATACTATGATACGGATGTGGTGTTAGCACCCTAAAGAGCGACCCGTCTAGATTCACTCGGAGTCATCATGATATGTCCGGGAGAGTAACCGCAGCCTAGCCAACTGTTTAGCTTGACAGGAGGAGTGAGAGAGCATGAGCGCGCGATGGTGGAGCGACGTGCGACTGCGCACGCTCGTCCTCGTCAACGTCGCCGCGATCGTGGAGAGGGCTGACGAGTCGCTGCTGCCGGCCGTGTACAACGAGGTATATAGCATACCGTGATTTCCTCTCATAGAACGTCGCGTTGCTAGTAAAGAGTTGCTAGTAACGCAACAAGTCACTGCTGCCGGCCGTGTACAACGAGGTAGTCTCTTCTAGAACTTCGCGTCGTTAGTAGCGACACAATGGCTCGCCGCTCTCCACCATGCACGATGACGCGTCTACCTCTCGCTGAGTGTCGCAACGTCGTAACATCGAATTCGGAATTTTCAAATCCCTAGAGATTCTGATGCTTCGAACTCAAATCTGAAGCTTTCGAATCAGCCCCCGTTGGAGGCCCCCTCGCAGCCCCCTTCGGAGCCTCCCCGCTCATCCTCTTCTCGTCCCAACCCACTCCTCATTTATCCTTCAGAATCCTCTATCTCCCTTCTCTTTCTTCCGCATCCCTTTGTATCCCTCCAAACTCTTCTTATCCCTTCACATCCCTCCCTCAGCACTCAATTCCTTCCTCCCCCCATTCCCCCCTCCCCCCTTCGCAGGTGGGGCGCGCCTTCCACACCCCCCCCAGGGACCTGGGCGCGCAAACCCTCGTCCGCGCATTCATGCAAGCACTTCTCTGCCCTCCGCTGCTCTTCATTCGCCTTTCTCCCCTCCCCCCATTCCCCCCTCCCCCCTTGCACAGGTGGGACGCGCCTTCAATGCCTACTCCAGGGATCTGGGCGCACTAACCCTAGTGCGCGCACTCATGCAGGCGCTGCTCTGCCCTCTCACCACATGAAAGTACAGCTGCTCTGCCCTCTCACCACATGAAAGCACAGCTGCTCTGCTCCTTGCATTTGCCTCCCCTCCCCCTTTCGCAGGTGGGGCGCGCATTTAATGCATCCCCCAGGGACCTGGGCGCGCTAACCCTCGTCCGAGCGCTCATGCAAGCACTGCTCTGCCCACTCGCGCCATGGCTCTCCCTCTACCTGCCCCGCGTCCACGTCATCGCCACGGGCGCGCTCATCTGGGGCCTTGCCACGCTAGCAGTGGGCCTCGCCACGTCATACAGCCAGGTGGCATGGCTGCGCGGGATCAACGGCATCGGCCTCGCCCTGGTCTTCCCCCCGATCCAGTCACTTGTTGCTGACCTGGCGTCTCCGACCAACCGCGGCATGGCGTTCGGGTGGTTGCAGTTCATGACTTACTTCGGGGATATTCTGGGATACAGCATCGGAATTACCCTAGCAGGGTTACCTGCCCGAACAATAATCTGGTTAATTGGCTTTGGGATGGAAGGGTGGCGGTTGGCTTTCCTTACAATTGCTGCCATAAGCCTAATACTAGCTCCACTAATCTCCCTTCTCGCTGAAGACCCTCCGAGGCAATCTTGTAGCAAAGAAGAGCTCTATAACGAGGATGTGTCAAGCTCGCTTGTTAATGCGGACGGGGAATCGCTGCCCGGTTCACGTGCTGATGATAGCAACCCCTTGTCTTCACCCACACACCCCCTGCTTCACCACTCACATGCCACCTCCCCCAGCAGTTGCACCTCCCCCACATCAACCTCCCTCCTATCTGCCTCTATCAGGGAGCTGGCTCATCAACCCTCCCCATCCTCCC